GGCCCATCTCAGAGCCCCCCCCAGCCGTGGCCACCCTGTGCCTGCTCCCAAGGGCCTAGGCTCCGGGCCCTCCCTGCAAGGGTCGAATGGCAGAGTCCCACAGCAGAAAACGGGTTCTAGGCCGATCCCGTATGTGAGCTGAGGCTCAAGGAGGCTTTCACCACGGGGCTGTTTCCTCCCTGCCCCCGCAGGTCTGGGCCTGGAACAAGTGAGCTGGAGGCAAAGGCACCCCAGGACCTGCGTGCTACCTGGAGAGGGAGTTGGGTCCCAGGCCCCGTGGCTGGCAGCTAAGGGAAGGCACCGGGCCTGAGGGGGTGAGGCTGGGCAGAGCTTGCTCAGAGCACAGAGGAAGGAGCAGAGGCTGGCTCCAGAGGGACAGTAATCGAGCTGCTGAGTTCTGTGGAAAGCCACTGGGAGGCCTGGCGGGGGCGGCGAGCCTGCCAAGTGGTGCGCAGGGCTGCCAGGTGCCCGGTTGTGAACCGGACGGTCCAGTATTGGAGCTCTCTGTCCGGGAGACACATTGAGACAATAGAAAGGAGACAATAGAATGGTCCGGTAGTGTCTAGCTCAGATGGGATGTCGATTGTGATGTCATGTCAAGTGTGCCCCTGGGACAGGGCAGTGGAACTGGGACTACGCATCAGGCACTCGTGGGTGACCGGGGAACAAAGGCCTGTGGAGGGATGGAGGAGCAGGCACAGTGTGACGGGGTTTTGTTCTCCATGATGGAGCTGCAGACTAGCGGTGTCACTCGCCCTGCCCCAGCACAGCCAGCACAGCCTTCTCTGGCCAGAAGGGTTTGCATTTGCCCCAGAGGGAGACAATGAGGGAAACTGAGGCGGGCACAGCCTGACCCTGAAGGGCAGCCCAGTGTTGCCATCTTTATTTAGGACCTTTCTTTGAGCAATGTTTTGCTTCTGCAACTTGCGCAGAGTGAAGGGAAGGGTCAGGAGGGCTGTGTGGCAGTGCGTCGTGGTCCCCCGCCTCCTGCACCCCTGTAGTGGCACAAACAGACTCCACCGGCCGGTAGAACAGAGGGTATGTCTACACTACAAAGTTAGTTCGAACTAACGGACGTTAGTTCGAACTAACTTTAATAGGTGCTACACTAGCGCTCCGCTAGTTCGAATTTGAATCGAACTAGCGGAGCGCTTAGTTCGAACTAGGTAAACCTCATTTTACGAGGACTAACGCCTAGTTCGAACTAGCTAGTTCGAACTAAGGGCTGTGTAGCCCTTTAGTTCGAACTAGGGGGAGGCTAAGGCTTCCCAGGTTTCCCTGGTGGCCACTCTGGCCAACACCAGGGAAACTCTATGCCCCCCTCCCGGCCCCGGACCCCTTAAAGGGGCACGGGCTGGCTACGGTGCCCGTGCCAGGTGCAAGCCTGCCAGCACCCAGCTA